CCCCGCCGGCGCTGCTGGGGGCTGGACAGGACAGTGGGGTGGACCCTCTCCCACTCGAGTCCCACTGCCCGGCAGCCTGCCCTGAGCAGCCGGGGAGGACGGACATGGCCTTTTGGTGCTCTCCCACCCTGGGGAGTGGGGAGGGGGAGCCCCGCCACTCGGCAGTCACGACGCCCCTCACCCGAGTGAATTCCAAGGCGCACTGGGGGCGAGGCCTGCTGCCCGGACACCGTCTCTCCCCAGGCCATCTGTGCAGCCCAGCCGAGGCCATGCTGTCCCCGAGGACCATCTGTGCCCTGCTACTGCTCAGTATGCTCTGGGTGGACTCGGCCGCGGCAGGCTCCAGCTTCCTGAGCCCCGAGCACCAGAAAGCCCAGGTGAGGCCCCCCACCAACACTGGCTGCTGCTTCCAGTCCTACGTAGCAGCCAGCTGTGTGACCCGGGGCAGCAGCTCCAGCTCGCTGGGCTTCGGCCTTCTCCCAGGGTGGTCTGGGTCTGACCTCACTGTCTCTAGAACGATAGGGGGCTTAAGGTCCTAAAGGAGCACCCGCCCTTTCCAGCAGAAAAAGGAGTCCAAGAAGCCACCGGCCAAACTGCAACCCCGAGCTGCAGAAGGCTCGCTGCCCCCAGAAGACGGAAGCCAGGCGGAAGGGGCAGAAGAGGAGCTGGAAATCCAGGTGGGTCCCCTGCAGTCGTATGCTGCTGCACCAGGAAGGGAGTGCCGGTGGGAGGCAGGAGGGCAGGGAGGTGGCTGTGCACAAGGACCCCAGGGTGACGAAACGGCACAGAGACAGTTGCCCTCCGCGTGGGGCTCCTGTGGCCTCTGCATATGAGGAGAAGAACGTCTGCAGGGACCTTTGCCACAACAGAATGCGAAGGGGTGCCTTGGCTGCAAAGAGGGTGCGAGCGGGTTCCGGGGGATTTCAAGGAAACCGGCGACTCCGTACCGGTACCGAGAGACACCCAGAGTAAACAGCTGCTCACGGGCTAAGGAGCTTCTCTTCTGCTCGCTCGCCCCCCCACCAGCGCTCACCAAGCCCCGCTCAGACAGCAGGGGGCGGAGCAGGCTTCAGTTTCGCTCTGACAAATCTCGCACGGGGCAGGGAAAAGGTTAGACAACGCGGGACTGGGAGAGAACGGGTTTTGGAGAGGTTTTTTTTTTTTTTCGCTATAGGGCGCGTGCGCTCGCCAGACAGACAGAGGGAGCCATAGC